TACTACTACGACGACTACCACTACTATTACTACTACTACTACTACTACTACTACTACTACGACTACTACTACTACTACGACTACTACTACTAGTGCTAGTGCTAGTACTAGTACTAATACTAGTACTAGTACTAGTACTAGTACTACTACCTACTATTACTAGTACTACTACTACTACTACTGCTGCTACTACTACTGCTACTACTACTACTACTACTACTACTAGTATTATTGCGACTACTACGACTACCACGACTACTACGACTACTACGACTACTACGACTACTACGACTACTACGACGACTACTACGACTACTACGACTCCTGCTGCTGCTGCTGCTGCTGCTGCTAGTGCTAGTGCTAGTGCCAGTGCTAGTGCTAGTGCTACTGCTACCGCTACCACTACTACGACGGCTGCTACCGCTAGTATTCCACTGCTACCACTACTATCGCTACGACCACTACTACCACTGCCGCTTGAGTGCTTTTGGCTTCAGTATTGTTTTTGGTGCACCCCCGGTGCGTCTCGGCATCCCACACAGGTCATAGCACGGCGACTTCGGCGGATCGTGCTGCCTGTCCGAAGGGTCGTTGGGTGGGTGATGTGTGTTTCTTTCCTCTGGGGCTTTGGTATTTGGCAAAAGGGGGTTCAGGTTGTTAGGGTTTAGGAGTTTTGTCTGTAGGGTTTAGGGTGTCTCAATGACGGGGCGCACTGGTGAAGGCATCCAGGTGCGCGCCCCCTAAATTGTATGTCCCCAACCCCGTTAGAGCTCCAGCCTAGTCTCGACCTTCGCTGCTTTTCTGGTTTGATGATTTGGGCTACCGATGCAAAACCCCAGACCGAACAAGACAAAACCCCAGCCAACAGGGCACAGCAGCTGAGAGCCTTCGATTTCCCACATGCTACCATTTCGTGCCCTGAGGGTCCAGAGAGCGCTCTGGTGTGCTCGGGTTTGGGGGGCTGGGGCAACCACCTTCCCGACGGCCGCTTCCAGCATGCTGTGCAGTGGAGGTTGGGCGCTTAAACAACCGAGCCCGGCCGGACATGGACATGCCAGGTGCAGTGCGTCGGCCAGGGGGGCACAGGAGCTCTGACACTTCTGGACAGCACCCTGCAGTGTGCAAATTTGGATGTTTCAAAACAACTCGCCATTCTCGACGATGCACTGCTTGCGCATGGTCCTGAGCGAGGCCGGCGCCGTCGCTTCGCAAGAGGTCGAAGTTCCGGGCTGGCAGCGTGCTGATGGAACGCGGCCTCGCTTGGACGAGGGTTGGTGCTGGCCCGGCCGTCCCCAGCATGTGGATGTCACACTATGGCACCCCTGCGGGGTCGAGCATGTTGGGCAGGCCCGCTCAGCCGAAGCAGCCACGCGAGACCGTTCCCCCGTCCTCCCTGCAGAGGGGCTTGATGTGGCCGTCCCTTTCGCAGTTTAGATCTTTGGATGTCTGGGCGCTTGCTCCGCAGGAACAGTCGCGCATCTGTGGTGCATAGATGACGCACCCTGTGGAGCTGTTCGCTCCAGTGCCTCGCTCCAGTGCCTGTACGAGTCTATCGAGTCTGCTCGGGCCCTCTTCCTCGGCTCAGCGCTGTGAAGCGCAAAGGGCGAACGGGTTGCGATTGAGCACCTGTCTCGCTCCGGGACTGTCTCCAGGAATATTCTCAACACAGAGATCCCGACACAAAGACAGGCTTCAAATCCCCATAAGGAGGATCTGTGCATATTCCGGCATTACTGAAACGGGCCTTGCGATTTGGGGCTGACAGTTCTGGGTTGTGGGATTTGTGCATTGCGAAAGGTTTTAGGACCTCGGGTTTAGGGGTTTCCATTGCCCTGTTGCCCCGGTTGCCCCCTATCCCCCCACATTCGGCGACCGAATGGCAAGCGCATCTAAGCCCGCACCTTTCTTTTTCCCGCCAGTTTGCGATCATCGTTTTTTGGAACATAAAAGACCCCGCGCACTGCACACTGTTTCAAGACGTCTCTCGGCTTCCCAGGATGCGGCTCCTCGCGGACAGCTTCGACAAGGCAGGGATCCAACGTTTGAACCGTGGTTTCGGGAGCGGCAACGGCGGGGCCTTGATCTGAGGCATATAGTGGTGTCTGGGAATCCGGGATAAGGCCTGCACTTCGGGAATGTGGCACACACCTGTGGTACCAGTGTCCCCTTTACCCTGAGCCAAACTGTAACCCAACTTCAGAACCCAAACGGTTACGTGAATTGTCAGCCCAAAAGCCAACCTTAACCTTAATCCTAAAAGGGTCAACCCCAGCTTAAACGCTCTGTCCCGAACCGACTTTCATACCCCAAATCCGGTCCAGACCCTTCACGATAGACCGGCAACCTGATGTGTTTCATGGAGCCTGGCAGGTATTGAAAGTTTAGGCCTTGACATGCATAGTTGGAGGCCACTACGGTGTGTTCACCCTGCACCTTGATCTTTGACCTTTGGCCCCTGAATCCTGAAGCGAACAAGGTATCTTGAACCCCCCCGAGCATGTATCAGGTTGATGCAAACCAGGATAGCGAAATCACTGTGGTGGAGGCTGGGCGACAGCGAGCCTGGCCGAACCACGGGTTGAGGGTCCGGTCTTATTGCCTTGGATTCAAGGAGGGGCCAAGGTCTGTGGTTGGACGTCGGGTTGAAGTTGCAGTGATTGCAGTGGGGTTCAGACATGCCGGCATGCAGATACATACTGTAGAGGCTGGGCTCAGTTTGGAAAGTAGACAGAATCGTCCTCCACAACTTCTAGAGCAATCTTTCCAGACACCCCCCCATCCCCTGCTCCTCGCAATCAACAGCTTAATGGTGCGGCCCTGGCTATTGCGACTGATGATAAGGCCTGATTTCCCCCTCTATTTTTTTCGCATGTGTTCTGAAATTTCTGACGCCTTCCCAAGCGTACATGTTCCTTTCTAAGAGTTTGTCGACTGGTTGTCAGGCAATGGAGGTGTTGCGGCACTTGGGTTTCACCCTGCTCAAATCGGACGCTCGCTGGCCTCAGCACTCCATCGGTTTGCTAGAGTCTGAGCAGTGACCATTGCTTTAAGTTGTGCTGCGCACTCCTGGATTTCGAGGTGCCTGGGAAGGCCAAGGTTGAGACCAAGCCTAGCATCTGAACCATTTCGGGAGCAGCCGAGATCAAATCTAAGGGCCCCCTACCACGAAGGCAGCGGTGTACATGATGACGTTGGCCTTTTCAACAATGATGATGATAGTGATGATGATGGTGGTGATGGTGATGGTGATGGTGATGGTGATGGTGATGCTGCTGATGACGACGATGATGATGATGACGATGATGGTGGTGATGTTTATGACCGTGGGGATGACTGTTATGACTGTGTTGGTGACGTGCTGGTGGGGCTCAGGGCGATGGGTAGTCAGTGATTCTGGTATATGCTCCGCCTCACGACTTTGCATCTCTCCACAATCATTACCAGTAGCCGGGGATTAGCCGACCCTCTACATCGCAATCCTCATCAGAATGCAGACCCCAAACTCGAAACCCGGCCGTTTTGCCAGTGCTCCGGCTTCAGTGTTTTGGCTGCTGGGATCGACAAATTTGCGGCATGAGATGGAAGCTCCTAAGCCCTAAGCTGAACAAGCCGTCATGCCCTGAACACGAAACATGTTAAACTTGAAAGCAAGTCGTAGACCTTAAAACGTAAGAACCCGCAAAGCCTGCAACGCAAGCACCATGCAAAGCGAAGGAGCAGAATGAGCTCCTGGAGCTCATCGGTGCCGAGAACGAGGATGGAGTTGGAGGGATCTGAGAATCGGATTAGTGGCTTTACGGTTTGTGGTTAAGGACTTAAGGTGTAAATGGTCTTGCAAGACGGCTTGGGGTTTAGGTCCTATGGTGAGGACTTAGGGCGTAGGGTTTGTGGCTTCAAGAGTCGGGATCGCTATTGAGACGAAGATTCGGGTTTAGCCGCTTAGCCTTTCAGAATCCGGCTCAGAGGCAAGTTTTTTGCTGAGGATACTTGCAGTCAAATTTGCATGGAGCGCGCTTTCCCCAACCCTGAATCGCACACCGAAGCCCAAGACCTGTGCGTGTCAGCGAAACTTTATGTAGGAAGCTGAAACCTCAGCCTTAAACCCTAGCCAAAAACCCCGAAAGCCCTAAGCCCTAACCCCTAAACCCTATTCAAAACTATTGGAAAAGGAGTGTAAAACGCTTCTTAAAAAGATCACGACGAGGAGCGGCTCCACTTCGACCTCGTCCACTCCCTGGTCATGGAAGCACGTGCACAGCGCCCCGACCTGGCCAAATAAACCGGGTCTCCTTGAGACTGAGGTTTTGATGTCTCGGGGTCATGGGAGCTTTCAGGTTTGGGGTCCGCAGCTGGGGGTTTAGGTTTCAGGCATTGGGGTTTGCGAGCTGAGTGTTTTGGTGGTGCCCCAGTCCTGAAGCGTACAAGCGAGGGCTGAGAACTTGCAGCCCCGGTTGGTTTCGAAGCAGTCATGCCTCAGCCGAGGCACGGCTTTGCAAAGGAGGAGTACGATGCCAGCTGGCCGATCAGCCCTTGGAATTTTTTGTCCACGGGGTAAGGGTTCAGAGCTCGCGGTTTGGGAGAGGAGGTAAATGATTATGAGGGACGGGCTCGGAGATGAGCTCAGTGACTCCGAACTAAGTGGCTGTAGTCCTAAACCACTCCAGGCAAGCCCTCCTTCGGGAATCGAGCAACCGCTAGCTTCCCAAGCAGACTGAAGCTTTACATGCCGACGATGCCTTTCACCGTAGTCAGGGGTTAGGCATCTCAGGGCTTGTGAGTTGTGTTGTGGAGTTTCCCGGCTGGCTGCGAGAGTCCTGGTTGCAAGAACGGCTTGTGTTATGGAGGAGCTGGCCGCGCACTTCGACGCGTACTGCGATGCAGATGGGGAGATGCCGAACCTGCAAATGTGCCCCTGGGAAAGGGTTCCTTTTGATCCTTTTGGCTCCGTATCTTGTTGGTAGTCTAGACTGTTGGCCCTGCTTTAACCCCAAGCCAAGACCGTCAGCATTTTCCATTGCCGCCCCAAGCCCTTAAAGCGGTGATGCACCAAGGAAGGCAAGTTTTCGTCGAGCCCATCTTGCCACTTCCGTGTGAATCACCAGGCTAACAGCATAAGGCCTCAGCGCTTCAACTTGTTGACTCCGCCAAGCCTACTTAGAAGACCAGGTACGAGCTTCTGCGTTACATCGGCCACGAAAACAGCCTCGATGAGGCCTCAGTGCCGTGGGCTTTCAGGGTAAGCAGCCACTCGGGTGCAGATTTCATGATGGAGGCTCAGAAACAAACAAACCGTAGTAGATATATGGTTAATTTGACAGGAGGTGAGGAGGTGTCCTTGGTTGATTCAGGCTTGCGGTGCAGCGTGAATGTCGCTTGGCAGTACTTTGACTTTGAAGACCCGGGCCGGGAGGTCAAAGATCTGCTTGACCAAGTCGATTACAACCACAACGGCACCATGGATCGTCCGAAACTCGGGGGGCCCTTAAGTTAGCTCTTTTTTTGTAGTACTCAGGGTCTACGTTGTGAGCCCCTTCTTTTCTGAAACTCCCAGCTCTCGGGGGCTGTGTTTCAGATGTTGTGCATGTAAGCACCGAGCAGAACGGGTTGCAGAACAGGTGAGGCAGTTTCCTTCCCACAGCTGCCGCGTGCTTGTGTCAGAGGCTGGTTCTCGTACTCCACTCTTTTCGCGACTGCTGTCGCGCAACTGCAGTCGGCCCCTTTTGTTCCTGCAAGTTCTCGCCGCGCAGTTTTGCATTATTCAAAACGGCCGTTGCAACAGTAAGAGGCCGATACTCTCGCCCAGCCAACAGCCCTAGCACCTTTTTGTTTCTTCTTTGGGCTCGGAGAGCGCAATGTATCAGAAGCCTGAGAGTCACCAGTGGTAGCCCGTCATCCGAAGCCAACAAGCAAAGCTCAATTCAAATGCCTACATCCCAACCTACCTGGAGTTTCCTTCTCGTGAATAATGAAAGGCTGGAGGGCTTGTGCTCAGTGGGCTGCCTTTCCATTGCCATGCATTGTCAATTGTTGATCCTGCAGAAAGGGTTGATTACAAAAAGAGCCCGCTCAGAAGTATCACGGCAGCACTCGGTAGCAAAGACAGCCGACATGGTAGCAGCTTCCCAGCATCAAAAACCTCTGCCTAGAAACCGGTTTTCAGAATCCTGAGAGCACAAGCTCGAAGAGTAAGCTTCAGCAACGGCTGCCTTCGCACGGTGGAATTCCGTCAGTTGGCTTTGCGATTTGCCGATCCGAGCTTTTGAGGTCGAGAGTACTTCCGGCTGATGCGCCTCCAAAAGGAGCCGGGTGGGTGGTAGAATCGTATTAAAGTCGTATTACATCGGATGTCGGGCATCAGCAGCTCAGAGTCCGGGATTCGAAGAGTGAAGCGAAGTTGTAGGATTGTCTTGTAGCCACAAGAGGGGAGGAGCACCCAACAAAACGATGATCGTAGCAACACCATACGGCGTATACGGACCTGTAGGTTAAACCTTCGTAATGAGTGGAGGAGGGCGTGGTTAGGGTCGTTAATGTAAGACCCCGATTACTTGCTTCAGGACTCAGATTTTAGGATCGTGTTCAGAGTTCAATTCAGGATTCAAGTTTAGGAACTTCTTTCACAGAGTCCCTCGGTAGCTCATTGTGGGAGACTAGGTGTGGGTTTATGTAAGGTGTTCTGAAGAGCATCTCAGTCGCTTGGACCCACAGCCGCCTCTTGGCACCTCGGAGCAAGTTCTCTTTGGTCGGGACTGTTGTATTTGGAATATGATCTCCGGAGTGGTGTCGGCAAGACCTGGATTATCGGAAGAAGGAGCCGAAAGGTTTAAGCTCAGGAAGCTACAGCCGGAAATGCCGAAACGCCCAAGATTTACGGCCCCTGAGATTAAAAAAAGCTCTGAAGCATCCTTCACCTGGAACACAGCTAGAAACCCCCACATCGTACTTAAGCTCTCTCGCACTGCCGTCACGGTAACACCCTGAGAGATCCTTCCGCCCTGAAGCCTGTGGGGCTTGTGGGCGCAAGTGCTCTCAGGGCAGTTTGTGGAATTCGATGCCTCTTAACTCTGACAGGAGCAGAACTTGGCCGGCTACCGAAACGCCTGGTGCTCTAGTCGCCCCAGCATGCTTAGCGAAGCCCGGTTGTTGAACAGAGTCGCAGGAATACCGTTGCATGCCCTTCGACATGAGCCCTTGATAGGTGTGATTTGTCACCGACTCGCACAGATGTACACCCTGTGAGCTTGTTATGTGTCACGCCATCTTGGTCTCACCCCGCAGCTTGACTGCTCGGATATTATCCTTCATCGCGTAAAATCCAGCCCCGTGGTACCAGATCCTGTTGAGCCCGCAAGCACGCATGTGCAAACCGATGGCGAACACGATCGTCTCGACGCCATACCCGGAGCTAAAAGCGAAGACCCCGCAGCCTCGGGATTAAGCGTTTCCCGGCCAGGGTTCGTCATCGGATATAGGTCTCGGCCGAGCATAAGGGATCAGCGTCATGAATAGGCTGCTTTTGGGCGGGATGTAATGCAGCCGCTACTCATTTAGCCCAGGAACTCACGAATCGTGGCGCATCCCCATCCGTGGGAAGGGTGCCCGCCATCACGTCCGTTTCGCCTTCGTTGGGCTGCGTCTGAGTGTACGTATCCTGCGCCAGCGCCGTGCGGGGTAGTGAAAGGAGGAGTTGGAAATGCTTACGACTTACGATTCGATGACTTACTTGTGGAGCATTCTTTCCCTGTGGGCTCCATCTCTGCCAAGCGTGCATGAAACCGATACATCACCCCGATGGGCTCTATTGCTGACTATTGCTTCGAACCGACAGAGTTGTGCAACGTCAGGTTCCATCTCGACCGTACACCGTGGCTGATGAAGCAGGTCTAGGGATAAGGACCAGGAGGAGTACAGGCTCCACACTTACAGGATTTTGTGAGTGTTCCGCAATCTCCCGATGCCACTGGCCGAAAGCCGCCGCAAAACCGCATTCTTTGGGGTGACCAAGTGCCCGCAAACAGCTCTCTCCGAAAGCGATATTAAGCTGTTCAACAAAAGCGTGCGCAGCACACTTCAAGGAGCAATTTTTGATTACTGCGGAGGATTGCTTCAAGGAGAGGGACGCCGCAGTGCTGGTAGTGATTCACTACGGCTCTCTCTTCCTCAACCCCTCGCTACCATGCGCATTGGTCTGTGTTCACTGCCGTGAGGCGTCCCGACAGTGCTTGCGTAAGGGGTATCCATCCGCACTGCGTTCCCGAGCAAACAGCCGCGCGGTCCGATTGACGCCGGCAAAATGATGTGCTGGAGGAGGTGCGCCGGCAGATGGACAATTCTGTCCTGACCATGCGAGCAAAGATGTCGCTCAAAACCGAAGCGGATTCGATGGATACTTTCCGGGCAAGGATCGTGAACGAAGAGGTCTTCAAGCTACATCTCTGACGATAACGATGCAGAGGATGCCGGCCGCTGCCGTCAAAGACGCAGAGCAGACCTGGAAAGCGTGGAAATCTGTCGACCCGCTCGGACACGAAGGATCCTTCACGTTGTGAGGAAGCATACAACCTGGCCGATGAGGGACGATGCGAGGAGAACACCAAGAACATCACCGAAAAGGATGTTGAGTCCGAGGAGGCGTATCTGGACGGCATCGCGGGGGTCCAGCCATTTGGAGATCGATTCCAGGCAACATCGGCCGGCCAAAGACGTCTTCCAAAGAGCTCACGATTGAGCCAAATGCGGACGACGATCAACATGGGTTCATCCGCTGTACTTGCGATTCCGTACTTTGTTGTGAGCCTACGATCCAAGGCTGCGAATGTACAGAGTGAGCCAAAGACGTGATCAATCCGCAAGAGTCGAGCCACACCCGAAGTCTTCTTGCTTTGAGCTTAGAAGGTCTTGTGAGTGGTGTGGATCGATGCAAATTCAGTGTTCGGTCTACACTCCCCAACTCTGCTCTTCACGCGTGAGCTTCGCGTCGCGGGGGTGTGGTTTGTCACTGACTCGCGTACATGTACACCCCCGTGGACTTGTTACGTGTCATGCCATCTTTTTCTCACCCCGCAGCTTGATCGCTCAAGACTCGCTTCTAGAAGAGTCCAGGAAAAGACCGCTTGAACCTAGGGAGGTCTAGGACTTGTCTTGCCACTGTGCAGACAACATAGCATAACGAACCAGAACTCTGGTACGATCTCAAGCAAGTCCTGCTTTTGCTGTTGCTATGCTTGCTTGGTATACGATCGTTTGCATCACTGCTTTGTGACCGAGAGTTCAGTGGATTCTTCTGCGTTTCACAAAGGGCTTAAGGCTTTCGCAGACGTTAAACCCTAGTACGCCTGAGGCCTCGCCTGGATCGTCCGACATGTCAGAGTGTAAACCCTGAACATTTGTCCGCGGGAAGTGCCAGGCAAGATGCGCTGTGGACGAAAGGCGCTTGGGAGGGCTTTAAGCCCAAAGCCGCGAGCCGAAACACGCTTAGGATGTAGGGTTTATGCTTTGGCTGTGTGGTCAAGGGGAGCACATCCTAAGCTTTGAGCCCTAAACAGCACGCCTAAACGCGTTGCCATGTTGACTCAAGTGGATCGGCTTCGACTGTCGTGCTTCCCGCCGACATGCACCAACACATGCAACATTGGTGATTTCAGGACCTGCCAAGAAGCGCATGGGTTCGGCTACACGCTCTTTTGCTATTAGAGACGTCTGTACAGGTTGAGGGTTGAGTTTGAAAGTTGCAGGATTTTATAGATCAGCAGTGCACCCCTTAGCTGGGTTTTTTCACCTCCCAGACATCTAGTTGCAATGATTCCTTCCTGGGTTTTGCGGGTCAAGTCGATTTGTCTCTTGGTCGTGCTATGTTTGCCACTCAGGCAGGCTTTCCACGTCCGGGGTTAGGGCTATACAGGCCTTTCGAGCCAATTGAATGGAGCCAAACTTCTAAAGCCCGAAACATGGAGCGCCGAAGCCATAAACCTGAAACCCAAAACCCTGAATTCAAACAAGTAAACACAGCTTCGCAGGCTTTTCAGGTGGTGGAGAAGGCTCTCCACTCTCGCTCCTGGGTTGCTTTTGTGGATTCTGTGCTGTGAGGCCCCGGAGACCTGGGACTTATGATTTCTTTCTTGTCCCGGATTGTAATTGTAGGTCTTAAGGAGTCTTAAGGGTATCGAGCTTGGAGGCCTGTATAGTATGTATAGTCTAAAGAAGCAGTTGCGCAGACTCTTTCTGAGTCGCTGTCCCAGAGCAGTCTCTGTTCTTTTTTTTGGTCTTTTTCTCTGGAGGCCGCCCCCTGCCCCCTCCCCTTACTCTCCACTCCACTCCACTCCACTGCGCTGCACTCCGCTGCACCCCACTGCACTCCACTGCGCTGCGCTGCACTGCACTCCGCTGTTCTCCAATGCGCTCCACTCCGCGCCCCACTCCCCTCCACTCATTCCACTCTACTCCACTCCGCTCCGCTCCACTCCACTCCAGTCCGCGCCACTCCACATCGCTCCACTCCGCGCTCCACTCCACGCTCCACTCTGCGCTCCACTCCGCTTCCCTCCACCCCACTCCACTCCGCGTTCGCTTCCTCTCTCCACTCCGCTCCACTCCACTCCCCTCCCCTCCGCTCCACTCTGCCCCTCCTCACTCCACTGCACTCCACTTTGCTTCACTCCACTCACTCCACTCCACTCCACTCCACTCCACTCCACTCCACTCCACTCTGCGCCACTCCACTCCGCTTCACTCTGCGCTCCACTCCGCTCCCTGCCACTCCACTCTCCGCACTCTCAGTTTGGCGATTTCGGGCTTGCGGCTCAGCTGCTCAGGCGTCACCCCAGCTTTATGGATGGAGCTTATGGAAGCCCAGGAGCAAGAACAGGGAGAGGAACACAGGAACAGCAGATTTGGCACGCCCCTGGCTTTAGCAAGGTTTAACGGTGACCCCAAAAAGGATCCAAAGAGTCAATATTCTGCCCCGTATGCTGACCAGAGATACCAGAACAGGGATGATTCCCGTATTTGTGATCCGAATAACAAACACAAGCCAACACCAGTGCAGGATTCTTATAAGCCCGAAGCCTTCAACTTTAGGCCTTTCGCTTCAAAGCAAGGTCTGAACAAGCACCCCGAGATCCTAGGCAGACTGCTCGTCCGGTGGCCCAGTGTCCTCCATAGGGCCCCAGGATTGATGGAAGGTTTGAGTTTCGAGTGTGGGATTTCAGTTGTTTTTGGATAAAAGTTCAAGCTTTCATGTCTGCTGTGGACCGGCGACAACTTTGGACCCAAAAGCTCTGGCACCGCTGAACAAGAGCCACCCCGAATCAGGCTGCAGGGCCTGGACTTGATGGGTAGTGCGCCACCCTGAAGAATGCCGTGCCATGTGTCATAGAATGTCATACAAGGACACGGAAAGCAGAAACCCAGCTCGAAAGCAGAACACCGCATAGATCGGAAATCAACACGATGCGATAATGCCAAAGATTGCGCCCCTACAGCCGGTGATTCAGCATCTACGAACGCTGGGCTGAACAAGAATGGTCAAACTCGAGGATCAGAAAGCATTCTGAGGTTTACCCAAGCTTGGGGGAAGGCGGGGCGGGGCAAGTGGGCACAGTATGGCACAGTGTGGGAATCCGCAGCCGGAAGAATAGTGTACGGTGACTTAGCCGGGCAAGCGCGAGTTACGCCCTGAAGCCCATTGTGACAGCCAAAACACAGTGTCCTAGAGACCACAGCGGAGACGGTGGCATGCTTCAGCCACCGAAGAAAACATAAACCGTAAGCGCTTTACACCTCAGCCTTGAACTGAGGCGGAAGCACAAGCCGAGGAGATCAACGCTGCTGCAGGCGATTTCGACGCCTTCGCGACACTAGCGGACCGGGACTTGATTCTGGGGATGCGATGTCTTCGTCTTGAGCATGAAGGGCTTGGGCAACCGCAGTTTATCCTTCCTGTGAGGAGAACCTGCGTAAGCAGATCCCTCTCGAGAGCCGGAAGTATGCGAGCTTCAAGGCCCCGCTGGGCGTAGGAGTCTTCAAGATTCCTTGAGAGCCGCTGAGTGCAGAAGCCCTGCGGCGGGCTTCTTGCGTTTGTAGGGCTTCGGAGTTTAGGGCTTCAGGGGTTTAGGGTGGTTTAGTTGGTCAAGGGTTCGTCCTGGCGGAGTCGCAGCAGGCCAGTTGCAACAGGTTGTTTTTAGGGTCAACCAACATGGGACCGACATGGATTGCAGCCTACCTAGGGCGCAGCAGGTCAGGGAGCATGATGCATGATAGGTTCGTTGTTTGGCGGACTTGTGAAGTTTATCACACCCCACGGGTTCTGTAGGTGACCGCTCCCAGTTGCATTTTGGATCAGGAAGTGGAGTACTTGATGCTGAAGAAGATCTTCGAAAGGCAAAGCGATTTAGAGGACCGCGGCGACCTCTGCACCCCAGTTCTATGTGCGCGACGGTTCCCCTCAGGCCCCTGATATTGGTCGACAGGCCGTGAGGATGAAGTCAGGATGATGCGAGGCTTGTTTTGTCAGGAACTCGGGTTCCGTGTTCAGATGCCGCAAGGCGAGGAGTTTGCAAAGCACAGGGCTCTTCCCTGGGACCTACGTTCAGAACGGCAGCCATGCTGTGTATCCTGGGTGTGGTCCTGATTATCCAGGCAGGCACTGCCGTGGGAGTTTTGGACCATCGTCCCCAGACCGAGACAAACGCGGCGAGCCGGACTTCCCAAATGCTGTTCGGAAATTAAGCGTCCTTTGTCAAGTACAAGGATCCTACTTTCGGGAGCCTCCTCAAACCCTTTGAAGCCACATCGTGAACGCATGCTCCTGAAAGACATAGACTTGGGAGTCAGGACGGATCCATCATTCTCCGCGAGTTCTTGTGGCTCGCAGAACAAAACCAGCAGGTTAGCCTTCAGTTCGCATAGCAAAGTGCACGAGTAGGACTGTCGCGAAAAACTTTTTGTGTGTCTTACAGGATTTCGTGAAATCGTGTTCTGGACTTACTTTTGGGGATTCCGAGGATTTGTTTTCGTAGGAGCAGTTGTGTCTCACAAGGTTTGGAGATTCCCGACATGTGGATTACATGACTCCTAAGTCCTAAGCGATCCTCTATGCGCAGGGGCAGGATCAAGGCTTTAGGCTTTGCTTCGTTGGTTAGGGCTCTTTTCTGCCATCGCAGGTGAAGGGGTTGTCCTTCATTTAGACATTGACCCCTCCGGTTCTGGCGGGCCTTTTTCGGGCTCTCTGGGTTGTTTGGCGGTGTCGGGACACCGAGCGGCACTGAGATGGTTTGGAAGGCAGGTAGGCAGGTAGGTAGGTAGATAGGCAGGCAGGCAGGTAGGCAGGTAGGCAGGCAGGTAGGCAGGTAGGGCAGGTGGGCGGTCGGTGCCTGCCTACCCTTCCTGCCTCCCTCCCTGCCTGCCTACCGTGCCTGCCTACCTACCTGCCTACCTGCCGACC